AATTTTATAATTGAAAATATATCGATATTATTTGAAGCCTTCAAATAATAATATTTATTTATTAAATAATGATTATTCATCATCATAAATATCGTCAAAGTATTCATTTGAATCAACTTGATTCCATGCCTAAATTGGAAGATTTTTTGGTTTTGCAGAAATTAACGATTGCAGATTAGTCCATCTTGGATCGTCTGTTTTAATAATTTCGTGTGGCATAGGAGTAGTGTTCCACAGAAAAAGATCCGAACGGATCCGGTATTTTTGATGAGTATAAATTTAGCATTTCACAAGGATACCAGAACTGAAACTGTACGTATAATTAATATGGAAAACACACTATCGGCAATAGGCACCATTTGCCTCTCACATGCTTCTATCGCCATTGGCAGGTCCTCCAAAACTGTCCACTCGGATCCGGATCCGATCCGGATCCGGTTTATGTAGCGAGTTTGAAAGACTTCTACTGGCTAATAGTACATGTGAGAGACAGGTAGAGCCTGTTGCCTGTAGCATGTTTTTCATATTAATTATATGTACGTTTTTAGTTCGAGTATCATTTGTAAAATGCTACTTCAATACTCATTAAAAATTCTGGATCCGTTTGGATCTTTTTTGCGGAATACTACATAGGAGTGGTGTAAGAATGACGGCCTCTGGAATTTAACTTTTCTACTTGAGTTAGCTTGATTACATCATCTGCAAGGTTACGAATACGAATTCTCTATAATGATAAAAAGTATTAGTCATTTTTATATTTATTATATAAATAATGAATTAAATTTAGTGTTACCTCATCACTCATCCAAGGAAGAACTGGTACCAATAACTTCTTTCTAGATTCAAATTCAGATATATGACCTTTATCATTCGATGAACTAACCATTTCTTCAACATCGGATACTTCTGGAGATGTCACCTCAAAAGAGAATAATTTTTCAACTTCACCTTTAGGATGACTTAATTGTTCTTCAGGAATTTTATTTAAAGCAGCCAAACGATTAGATGATTTCTAATAAAAAAAATAAATACGTA